TATTGCGAGCTTCTGTCCTGCTGCTGCCGCTGCCGCTGCCGCTGCCGCTGTTGTTGTTGTTTATTTTTAGCCCGCGGCTGTGGGTGGACACCACAGGACATGAAAGATAACGGTGTCCCCCATAACATTATGTATTCGACTATGTAATACCCCACCCATTCATGTGGCATTTACATTTCCTTGTTCATGTACAGGAATTTTAGGAGGCGCCTGCGCTAACGCTCTCTAGGCTCCTCTCTCTCTCTGTCGGTGAGCAGAGCTCTCTTCTTGTATGTGGAATAACTACAACGCAGTAGCAGGCAGGCAGCAGCGACAACAACGCTGAGCCCCTCCTAAGCTCCCCCTGGCTGTCTCGCATACATTTTTCATTCAATACTAGGAGCCGGGCCTGCCCCTCCTCACTTCAGTCTCTTGTCAGCCACCCACTTCCGGTTGCGTCACTTTGCCAGGGCTCGAAGGTTGGCTGGAATGGTCTGGGTCTGCCAGCAGCTCTGCGTCAATTCTCTCTCGTTCTCTCCCCTTTTTGTCGTTTTCCTGGCTTAAACTTTTGTTCAACTTTGCCCTCTGACTTTGTCGCAGACACCCATACAGGCGCAGGAACTTGCAACTGCCACACGAACGACGTCTCTTTAATTGAGGTCGTCCCCGTTGAAGTTAATAATAAGCAGAGAGCGCACAGAGAGAGAGAGAGAGGATCCTGCATCCGCAACAACGAGCCATGGGCGCCACCAGCCGCCACCCACTGGCTGCTGCTGTATCTGTATCTCTCTCCCTGTATCCTCTCTGTATCCCTGTGTTACTCTGCTCCTCTGGGGATTTTATATAATTTTAAAGCCTCTGCCAGCTGCAACTTCTTCTGTGGCAGAGCGACGACTGCAATGCCAAATGCCCTGCCATGTCCTGCGGCCCAAGGCTTTAAGTGCGCATCGCATTATGTAAAATGTTCGTACATTGTACATGCCGGATTTGCGCCACGAAAATAATGAAACAAATTTAAGTGCAGGTCCTTAGAGAGGGAGAGACCAGAGCTTGGGCAGTCAGAAACAAAATCAGATGCAGCTGGAATCCGTTTTGGGAATTAAGTCGAATTTAATATGTATGTGGAATGCAATGGGGATTTCTCTGTATAGATTAAGAATAAGAGTGGTCCATTCTGGAGATGCTTTTAGGTGGAGCTTAAGATTCAATAAAGGTTATAGAGCAGGAACTTCTACTCCAACATCTGCTTTAACTATGAAAATATCTTAGCACAGAATAAATGTAATGTAATGTAATGGATTTCGTCGCACATCCAAGCACTAGCAAAGCTTTTAAGCAATCATTATCAGCCATTAGATTTCCTTTTTCTTTTGTCTTTATTTATTCCCTAATCTGCCGTTTTGCTCCAGGGGCTCTTTGCATTTAATAAGTTTTGTTGCTTATCCTTCTGTGCGTATCAGACATTTTGCCAACAAATTCGAGCAATTCCAGTAATTTACCTTCCCTCCCAGAGGGGCTGCGTTTTAGGGAAAAAGTTTAAACCTTTGGGGCAAGTCTCCTTTTCTCTTCCTCTGTGTCTTTTGCCTTCGACGTGTGTGGGGTTGGCTCTTTTATCTAATTCCTTTGCTACAGAATAGCCATTTGTACGTCCTCATGTCCTGTCATTCCCGTGTCCTTCAACTTTGTGCGAGGCTCCAATGGGTCTGCCAGGATGGATATGGATGCTGCTGCTGCCTGCAGCTCCTGATGTTGATAAATTTCACGCCCTGCAGGAGCACACCAGCCAGGGAATTCGCTTCCCCTGAAATTACTTTGACTGCAGTCCTTTCCCGCAGAACACGGGGAGGCAGGATGTTGCCCAGTGACGCCGCCCAACAATGATTGAATGAAAGGCTAAAAAAAGGATTTCAGGAATTTCTTCACTCTGTATACACACACACAACTGTGTGGGTAGTGCTGTTGGTGTGTGTGTGTGTTATGCTATGTACTGAAGGGATTCCTGCCCCACCAAAACCCATCTACAGCCCATCCACCCATTCGAAATATACACAGAAATAACCTCAAACAAGGACGTTCGGTGAGAAACTTTTTGCGAGCACAAAAGCGACAGGAGATGGGGTTGGAGCGCAGCTCCTTCTGATGCTGCTGCTTCTTATGTATTACATAAGGCGTGTGCGGTGTGCGGTTTGAGCTCCCTCCCTCCCAACACACACACAAACACACAGAAACATGACAGTAATGCAATTTACAGACGCCCCAAAAGCTCTCTGCCCGCCTCTCTGCAGCATTACTTCGCTGCTCCGCCACTCCACTCCCACCCACACACGGAGGTGGAGGACCCTAGTGTGGTCGAAATGGCGCAACAAATGTTGCTGGGGCTGCCGCTACCCTGCACCGTGCAAGTGTTCACGTTATGGCCCCTAAAACCGGGCGGACTTTTAGCTGAATTGATTTTTCTATGGCACCTCCAGTGCGCATGCCGGGCACTCGCTCTCTCTCTCTCTCTCTCTGTCTCTGGGCTCTGCTGGGACTGCATTTTCATACATCACTCGAGTGCCACCCGCAACCGCCTCTTTTGAGTCACATGCCACACAGAGTGCTGCTGCTGCTGGCTCTGCTTCTGCTCGCTGCATGCTCTGACCTGAGCAAACGTTGCTACTTTCTGCTGCCTGTGGACTGGAAACTGCAGCATCAGCAGCAGCAGCAGTCTCGCAAATCCTACATATGTACATATATACATACATTTATATGAATATATGTACATGGATGTATCTAGTATCTGCCGCACATACTCGTTTTTGTACATGTTTGGGGGATTGCTGGCGTCCGTCCTTCCATTTTCCCGCTCATTCCTGCTCGTTCTATATGGCCTGGCCATATTTTAAGTGCTTCTGCTTAAAGCGCTTAGTGCGGCTTTAAAAAATCTTTCTCGGGAAATGCAAGAGGGAAAAGTTGGGGAAACAGAAGAGATATAAATGCAGGGAAACCCCAAAACAAAAAATAAGCAAAGGTGAACAGATGTAAATGGATGTAGAACGATGGATTGGTATAAGATAGTTGATAGATAGATGATAGATAGATAGAAAATAGCATCTGGCTGCATCATGTTGTGGGTTTCCCCACAATTCCTATAAGTCTTTGAACAAATGACAATCTCAAATGAGAATTTATCTCTGTGTCTCCAGCTTTTGGGTTTAGCTTCAGCTTATTTCTATGGCCCCTTTTTATCTATAAATTTAGCACACAAATCTTCTAATTGGAAATTTAATTTTCTAGATGTTTGTTTTCCTGTAGAATTAATAATTAATTATTTCTCTGAGTTACGGATATACGGACAGAACTATGTAACAACGTTACCAGAATTAATGAGAATGAAGTAGAGGAAGAATTGATTAAAAATTGTTTTCTCTTGTGGATCGAGCATGGGAAAACGCTTTTGATGGAACTCCTCTCCCTTTTAGTTGAACAATATTCCTGTTCTACTTGTACTTCAAATTTAATTATTTGTAAGAGAAATACCTAAAAACCGAATCTTAAAAATGCAGAAACTGACGTTATTATGCAAAGACTGACCAGCAGAAATTACATACTGAAATTCTTCGAATTAAATATCTAGAAACCTTGAACTTTGGTCTAGGGAAACTGTCTACAAATTCGAGGAATTTCAAGGAAAGGAAACCTTACTCGCTTGGAAAAACAAGAATTTCGTCACTGATAGATGATAGATATCCGTGATAGATGATCCTTGTAGATATGCGTAACGAAATGGATACAGCCCACAACCCCTTTGGCTGCAGCTTCCCTTACGTTTGACAGCGAGAGAGATTCCCTTGGTATTTGTTAAGATTAAAAGTTATTCCATATTACACAGCACATTCCCTGTCAATGGAATGCAAATGAGAGACTATGGCTGCGACTGAGGACTGGGGTCTGGGACTATGGATGCAGGGTTGCTCGGAGGGGGACAGGGCTGGCGCTTATCGACACAACAGATTAGCACGCAACACACCAGAGAGATGAGAGAGACCAGAGACAACGACGACGTTGACCCCTTGGATCGATCGTTTAAGCAGTGCTTTGCTGTGCCATTGAACGCGTTCGTAAGCCTCAATTGTAAATCGATCTGTGTGCAACAAACAAAAAACAAAACAAAAAGAAAAGAAAAGAAGAGAAGAGAAACCTTCTGCCAAATAGTAGCTGTACAATCCATACTTTTCCATATCTGCTTATATAGCCTATAAAAACACACAACGCACATTTACTGCTTGCTCTGTTTGCATTTTGGGAATTTTACATATTTCAAAGGGATAGAAAGAGAGAGGAATATGGTAGATGTACTGTTTGTGTGATCGTTCTCTTTCTTCAGCAAATACAATGAGAATTTGAAAACAACATTTAGCAAAAGGTCGCGCCTGTTTTTCGGTTCGTTATTTCAGGACCCTAACACAACGACGACGACGACCCTCAAGTCATTCCACGGAGTCCGTCCTGTGTCCTGAGTTCTGTCCTTCAATGGAGTTTGATATACGGCACCGATGAGAGTTCGTTTCGAGCCTTTTGCGCGTTAATTTATTTTATTGGGGGTTGGTTTCGGCTTCACCATCTTTAATGGCTTTGTTTCCAACCCAGGCTCCTTTTTTGTTCCAGGTAGAAATGAGGCTTAATCTGTCACTCTCTCTCTCTCTCTCTACATCTTTCTCGCTCATAGATAGCAAGCAGCACATTACGTTTGTAGGTTAATTTATTGTTTCGTTGGCATCACGCGATATTCAATGTGGAATGTTCCAGTTAAAATTCTACAAATTGAAACTACAAATAATGCCTAATGGTGCATTTATTTGAATCAGACTTTTGGTCAGACTAATTACATTTTATCAACATCCATATTTAACCGTTTAAACTGCTTGTTTTGCACTATCAGTAGTGTCGGCATTGGTAAACTATTTAGTTCAAGTTACCCAAGCTAAAACTCTCAAAATTATCCCAGAACTAAATTCTACGTAGATTCTACACGAAACCCCACTTTTACGTAGCACATGTGGCAGAGCAACATTTTTAGGCTCCCCTGCAACATTTACAAGGAATCTACAATAAGGTATGGACAATGACAAGCAGACAGTATTTTTCGGTATATTTCTGAGGGTCAGAGCGATTTTTATCGATAATTCCGCGGTCATACTGCAGAGGCGGCAAAACGTAAAAGCGAATCCCACGAAACAAATACCAAAACGCAAAGCGAAACGAAAAGAAGCAAGCTAAAATAAAAGAAAGAAATAAATAAAATATATGTGTATAGCTAAAACCGGTTACAGACATAGAAATAGCAGACAGCAGCAGCCGCCGTTTTTCGAAGCCAAAGAACGTGGCTCTCGCCGTTGCCCGGCTTTTTTTTTTTTGTGTGTGTTGTGTGATAGTATTTGTGTGCATGTAGCGGCGGCGTACGTGCCTGTTTGTGTGTGCTGTGCGTGTGTGTGTGTGCGTGCGAGTGCGTGTACTGCTTGCCGCGTAAACAAGAGACGACGTACGTCATTTGGCGCCCGTTTATTTATTTGGTTTGGTGAAATTTTGCTCTCAAGTGTTTCGCACAAAAGAAAACACTCGAAAAGAAAAGTAGAAACAATTAAATTAAGTGAAAAATAATTCTCCATGATAGGCGCCAATAGAAAATTGCCCGCCAAAGGGGCTGCGCTTGGGACAAGCAGTGAAAAGTTGACACAGATTTCGGCAGAGAAAACCGCGAGATAATATATTATGCGGAGGTATAGCTAACCAAATTTTGATTACATTTGATGGGAAAATATTCCTCCATAGATAAGACTTGTACTTTGCCGTGGAAATAATACCAAATACCCATAATAATCCCCTCGTTTGCTTTCTGATCTAATATTTTAGGTCTACAGAAGAACCACCGACAAATAGCTACGAAAGGAACAACTATTACGATCGCAGCAGTCGCCTGAACAATTACCAGCCAACAACAACAACAACAGCGTCAGCAAACGCCAACAGTAGTCCTTCTGCTAGCAGCGCAACAGGCACAGGAGGAACCGCAGGAGGAGGTTTAGCCACTGATAGATCGAGGAATAGAGATCGCCTGTACAGGAATGGTTCAGCAGCCGCCCAAACGAACAACACTACGACAGCAGCCAGTAATACGCAATCGACAACAACGGCAGCGGCAACAGCAACAGCAGGAGCTGCGCCGGCGCCGCCACAAGCGTTAGGTGATCGTAGCAACAACAACAATATACAACATCATCAGAACACTCCTCGGGTGGTGGCACCGCAGTCATGGTACGAAGCCGCCGCTGCTGCAACGGCCCAATTAAAGAGTCCTGGTGGCAGTGGCAATGCCGGCGCCTCAGCAGCTACTACCACAGCAGCAGCGGCAGCAGCTACAACAGCCACAGCTCAAGGTACAGCCGGCGGCTTTACAATGAGCAGCTCACCGATCAATCATCAGCATCAGCAGCAGCAGCAGCAGCAGCAGCCACATCCTCCTCCGCATCATTTACATTACAGCAGCGCCACCAGTGGAGCAGCGCCATTCGTGGGATGTGCCGCCACCGCAGCCGCCACCTCCGCCTCGTACTCATCACCCGCCCAGGCGGCGACCACCGCCGTGCATCGCAGTGTCGCCTATGCGGGAAGTGCTGCGGATGATCGCGATGCAATGCGATCAAGCAAGAGTCACCACAACCACCACCTCCACAACAACAGCAGCAGCAGCGGCGGCAGTAAACTCAATAAGCTGCTTAAAGCGGGTGCAGCGACAGGACGCTGTGGCTCTGAATCGCCAGGAGGAGCAGGAGCAGCAGCAGCGGGAGTAGGAGCAGCTGCTGCAACGACGATGACGATGACGACGACAAGTACAATCACAAACAATAGTTTTAGTAATAATAGTTTAAATAATACAATAACCACGGCAACTCCGACGATGCCAACGATTGCATCTGAATCTGTATCTGCATCTGCATCCCTTGGAGGTGCCACAGCAGCAGGCGCAGTTGCAGTTGCAGAGGGTAGCAGCAGCGGCAGTGGCGGTGACATTCTAAATGTGGCCGCTGCCCTGGCAGCTGCCGTTGATAATGGGACGTCCACCTCGGCATTAGCATCAGCGTCAGCCGCCGCCGCCGCCTGCTCCCTAGCACTGACATCATCCTCGTCCACGTCGAGGCCACACCAGCGACTCCATCATCACCATCATAATCATAATCATCAGCATCATCTGCATGGCCGCAGCACCACCTCGTCAAGTCGGTCGCATTCGCGTTCGCCGAGCAGCTACAGCAGCTCCCACAGCTCCTCATCAGCGTCGTCGCACTCATCGTCACATTCGCACGCGTCCAGTCCGGTCCAGTCGGGCATCCAATGTGCATCAGATGGTCGTAGCATCTCCCGCAGTCTCCAGTCGGTGGCTGTCAACAGTGAGTATTCCTTTAGCATCCCTAGATATCCCTGGATAAACCTCAAATTCTTTCCTCCCTCAGGCACTTCTTCAAATCCCAGTGGCAATGCTGGATCCGTGGCCATCCCCAGTGGCAGTGGCGGCGGTTGTGGTTCCAGTTCCAGCAGCAGCAGCAGCAGTTCGAGCAGCAGCAGCAGCGGCAGTGGCAGTGGCGGCGGCTCCTCATCCTGCCTGGCTGTGAATCCTGTGGTGCATTCCGAAGATAATCGCCCACTGGCGATACGAGTACGCAACCTGCCCGCCCGTTCCTCGGACACATCCCTCAAGGATGGTCTCTTTCATGAGTACAAAAAGCACGGCAAGGTCACGTGGGTGAAGGTCGTGGGCCAGAACTCGGAGCGCTATGCCCTCGTCTGCTTCAAGAAGCCCGACGATGTGGAGAAGGCCTTGGAGGTCTCCCACGACAAGCACTTTTTCGGCTGTAAAATCGAGGTGGAACCCTACCAGGGCTACGACGTCGAGGACAACGAGTTCCGCCCCTACGAGGCCGAGCTGGACGAATACCATCCCAAGTCCACGCGAACCCTGTTCATCGGCAACCTGGAGAAGGACATCACGGCCAGCGAGCTGCGTGTGCATTTCGAGAGCTTCGGCGAGATCATCGAGATCGACATCAAGAAGCAGGGCCTCAACGCCTACGCCTTCTGTCAGTATTCGGACATTGTCTCTGTCGTGAAGGCCATGCGCAAAATGGACGGCGAGCATCTGGGCAGCAATCGCATCAAGCTCGGCTTTGGCAAATCCATGCCCACCAACTGTGTGTGGATCGATGGCGTGGGGGAGAAGGTCTCCGAGTCCTTTCTGCAGTCGCAGTTCACGCGCTTTGGCGCCGTCACCAAGGTGAGCATTGATCGCATGCGGCAGCTGGCCTTGGTGCTGTACGATCAGGTGCAGAATGCTCAGGCGGCTGTCAAGGATATGCGTGGCACGATCATGCGTGGCAGGAAGCTTCAGGTGGACTTTGCCTCCAGGGAGTGTCAGGATGCGTTCTATGACAAGCAGGAGAAGCAGCAGCAACAACAGAATGCGGGTAAGTGTGAAGCTAAATCTACCATCAGACCATCACCTAATGGTTATCTTCTCTCTCCTCTATAGGTTCCTCTTCGCGTTTCAATCGCTATGAATCCTCTACGTGCTCCTCCGCCTCCTCCGTGCAGCAGTCCAGGTCGCGTGCCTCCTCGTTTAGCCGCCATCAGACAAACTCCAACGATGGCTGCGATACTGGCGGCAATACGCCCACGAGCGGCGGTGGCAATAGCACACCTTCGGGCAGCTCTGCCATGCCTGCGCCCAGCATTGCGTCTGCCATTGTGAGCAGCGGCAGCAGCAGCGGTGCACCGGCAACAGCAACAGCAGCCGCATCAGCAGCTGCTTCTGTGGCAGGCGCCTCCAGTGCCACGCTGCCATCTGTGGTGGGGAGCAGCAGCAGCGGCAGCTGTTCGTCGTCGATGCCGCCAATGTCGCCGGCAGCCATGGCGCAAGTGAGAATGCGTATGGCAAGGAGCGCGCGGCACACCATTGACTTTGATTTCAACGATGTGGCGACACAGCGAAGATTTCGCGCTGCTGCTGGCAACATAGAGGAGCCGCACGACGAGGACACAGCCAACACAGTGGGCAGTCGGTGCGATTCGCCAGTGATTGCTGCACGTCTGGGCCCCGCACTCGGCGTTGGAGAAACTCCCATGGAGTCGACGCTGATGAACAGCAGCAGCATAAGCTTGGGAGGAGCCAGTCGTAGACGTTGCGGTAAGTAATCTTAAGATTTTCTAGCTGCAGCAATCCACAATCAACGCTTCCATTTTCCATAGAACAACTCATCCTCGATGAATGCCCGTCCAGTGGTGATGAGGGGGGAGGCGTGGTCAGTCCCAGGAAGCGCATCAAAATGGATTACCATCACCTTCATCATCATTCCAATGCCTCAGGGGTAAGTTCTTGCCTATGAAACTCTCTCTTGGATTCCATTTCACAGTCTCCACTCCACTTCTCTCTTTAGCTGGTGGATCCCTATGCCTCCACGGGGGACAAGCAGCAGCTGCAGCAGCAATCTTTGACCCTATCCAACTGTGATGTGATACACGATCCGCTCAATCGCAAGAGCGAGATCCGACGAGTGTCCGAGGCATCGCCCAGCAGCAACAGCATGAAGTTCCCTGGACACCAGCCACCGTCCTCCTTGATGCTCAGCTGCCGCCGGCCGTCCATTGATGTGGGCGCCTTGACGGCGCTCTCGGCGATTCGCCATGGACTCTCGGATCAGCAACATCAGCAGCAACAGCAGCAGCAGCAGCTGCATCAGCACATGATGATTGCCTCGCTGGCCGCGAAGCGACGGCGTGTGGCGCCCATGCAGCAGCCACCGACAATGGGCAACAACAGCAGCTCTGGCGGTGGCCAGCTGCTGGGCGGAGGAGTCACTGGAGTGACGCCCAACGATGAGGCGTACCATCATCATGCCTCGCGAGGACGCGGCCATCAGCTACATTCCCATCACTCGCACGAGGCCAGCGGCGGTGAGAGTGCGGACGGATCGCGTCCGGGTACGCCTCTGTGCGATGAGCGGCCCGAAGTGCTGCCCTCCGAGCCCCGACGCCTGCCCCCGCCGAGAGAACGGACGAGGGAGAGAGTCAGGGAGGTGATGTGGCTGCCGATGCCCAAGTTTGGTTACTCCTTCATCCAGCAGCATCGCAGCGGCCCTGGCAGTGGCAGTGGCAGTGGCGGAGGCAGTGGCTGCTCATCGAGCAGTGTCTCCAGCTATCTGCTGGGATGCTCCTCGGCAGCTGGTGGGCCCTCGTGCTCCTCCAGCGGCAACAACAGCAACAGCAACTCTAGTCTAAGCGGAGGACTTGGCAGTGGTTTGGGCACGGGATCGTCATCGGCCTTTCTGCCTAGCCCCTCCTCACGCTACTGGCGATCCTCCTCGCACCACTCGCACCAGCATCACCATCATTCGCACCACTCGCAGCAGCAACAGCAGCAGCAGCAGTCGTCCTCGGGCTCCTCCTTGGGCCTTATGGCCAGTCCGGCGCGTCCGCGCTCGCTGAGCTCCAACTCGAGCGACTCGGATGTGCCTGGACATGCCGGTGGGAGTCCCTCGCTGGACGAACGCCTCCGCAACTTTGAGGAGAACTACGAGCGATGGTCCGGCGGCAGCAACACCCAGCAGCAGCAGCAACATCAGCAACAGCAGCAGACGAGCAGCAACACCAATTCCAGCCACAGTCATAGTCACGGTCATAGCCATGTCCAACAGTCGAGCAGCACGACGCCCTCGTGGCAGCTGTCGATGCACACGAATCTAAGCGGCTTGAGCACGCATCCGGCCAACTCGGGCAACAGCAACAGCTCCAGCGGCACGGCCTCCAGCTGCCATTCGGCGAGCAATTCGCGGCACAAGTTCCTCGACATTGACGAGCTGCAACCCTCGGACATCGTCAAGTCGCTGCTCGCCAAGAAGTCCATCTTCGACGACGATCTGCAGCGGCTGAAGAAGAACCAGTGGTACGATCCGTGCAGTGCGGACTTTGCCATCGGCTCCACCTCCATGGGCTCCACTGCGACAGCATCGCGGCATGGCCTGTGCAGTGGCAACACCTCGCCAGCGCTGCTGCCCAATCTGGCGGCCACCAAGACGACGCCCATCATTGGCAACTGCACGCCGATTCTGTCCAACTCCACGAGCTCCAACAAGACGACGAGCGGACTGCTCCAGCGACTGAGCAGCCTGTCGCCCATGAACTCGCCACAGGCCTCGATGTCTCCTTACAACAGTCCCTCGCCCTCGCCATCGGTGGGAGCGGCCACGCCAAGCGGACAACTGTCCGTGAAGCCACTCGTTGGATGCAGCAACAGCAGCAGCAGCGGCAGCAGTGGTGCAGCAGCAGGAGGAGGATCGATTTCCACGGCAACGGCGGTCACCGCTGTCTCGGCATCGGCATCACCAGCAGCCACATCGGGCGCAACCAAAGGACTGCAGTATCCGTTCCCCAGTCACCCGCCTCTGCCAAACACTGCGGCACCACCGCCAGCCGTGCAGCCAGCCCCACCACCACCGCCAGAAACGGTGAAGCAGCAGCAGCAGTCGGCAGCCAAGACACCGCCACCAGCAGCCAATGTCAGTCTGACAAAGAGTCTGAGTGTGCCCGCCGAGCCACTGCCAACGCAATCGCCCAGCGCCAGAGCACAGCTGCAGAAGTCTGCCTCTGTGCCGGGCAGCACGAATGTGGGGACAACAACTACCTCCAGCAATGCACCCTCGAGCTCATCCAATTCCACATCATCGTCCAACGGTAACAGTTCCTCAGCAAACACAGCCACCACCACCACCACAACAACACATGTACAAAAGTCCCAACAGCAACAGAACTGCAGCGAAGAGGAGCACAAGAGCAAGACATCCTCCTCACACTCCTCCTCCTCCCACTCACATTCTCACTCCCACAAGAAGAGCAGCACCAACAGCAGCAGCACGAACCGATCCAACAGCTTGGAAAAGGCCCACAGCTCGAACCGAGCCAACAGCACGGACAAGTCCCACTCTGCGGACAAGCACAGCAGTGCGAACCGTTCCAACAGCACGGACAAGTCGAATACCACAAACAGATCCAACAGCTCAGACAAGTCCCACTCAACGACAGCGGCAACGACAACGAACCGTTCGAACAGCGTGGACAAGTCGCACACCGGACAAGCGAACCGTTCGAATAGCACAGATAGGTCCCACAGCAGCAGCAGCAGGCAAAACAGCCGCTTGGATGGCGGCGACAAAAAGGCTAAAAAGACCTCCGACAAGAGTTCGACTTCAACGGCAACGACTGGCGGCGACAAGCGCAAGAATTCCGCGACATCTCAATCGTCCAAGTCAGCGACTCCACGCATCGAAGACTCCACGGACACGGACGATCCTGGGGAGCGATCCGAGAAGGAGCAGCGTCAGGAGCGGGAAAAGGCACACCAGAAAGAACGCCACGAGAGGGAGAAGCGCAAGCACCAAGAGCGAGAGGATAAAGATAAGGACAAGGAGCGAAAGGTCCACCATCAACCGGAGGACAAAGAAAAGGCCCATCAAGAACGGAAGGCACACCACCAGGAGGAAAAGGAAAAAGAGCGCAAGGTCCAGCAGGAGGAGAAGGAGAAGGAGCGCAAGACCCAGCTGGAGGAGAAGGAGCGTGAGGAGCGCAAGGCCAAAGAAGATAAGGAGAAGGAGCGCAAGGCTCAAGAAGAACGTGAGCAAAAGGAGCGTGAAGAAAGAGAGCAGCGAGAACAGGATCAGCGAGAGCAGGAGAAACGAGAGCGAGAGCTGCGCGAAAAGGAGCATCGGGAGAAGGAGCATCGCGAGCGGGATCACCGAGAGAAGGAACAATCCTCCCGGCGATCCATCTCGGACTCGGACCAAGAGTCCCGCATGTCCCGCATGCGCGAGATGTCCTCATACCACAAGAGCAAAACGGATGCCAGCTCCGAGGCCAGCAGCTTCTACACGCACAATGTCACGCCCAGCGTGTCCTCCACTGAATGCGATCGGCAGCACAACAAAGAGAATGCCGCCGATGCAGCAGCAGTGGCACCCTCCTCGTGTGCGACGCCATCGCATGATGGCAGCAATGCCACTGCCGGCAAGGATCGCTCAAGGAAGTCCTCCAGAAACTCTCCAGGTCCACGCATCCACAAGCGTCGCCTGAGCTCGCAGGATAGCAACCACAGCGGCGGCAACGCAGGAGGCGTCGGTGGTCTGCACAATCATCACGACGACTATGTGAAGCGGATACGCATGGAGAACCATCAGAATCCCATACCCAGCCAGAACAGTCAGAGCAGCCAGAACCAGCGGCTCAACGAGCGTCACGACGTGGCCAAGGAGCAGCACAAGAGCAGCAACAGCAGCAGCTCCAAGGACTGTGAGGCCAAGACAAACTCCAGTTCCTCGCACTCCAAGTCGCATGGCAGTGGCGGCAGCTCTTCCTCCTCCTCGAAGCACCATCGCAGGGAGAAGCATCACTGCAAGAGCATTGCGAGTGCCAGTGCTCCCTCCTCGATGGATGTCACAGCGATGGCTGCGATGGACGCGAACTTCCCAATAGCAGCAGCAGCAGCGGCGGCAGCATTCAAGCAGCAGCAACAGTTGCTCAACACCAGCGAGGAGGAGCAGCAGCAGGCCCAGCCACAGCCACAGCGGGAGAAGGAGCGGGATCGAGAGAAGGTCGACAGGGAACACCATCACCACAGCAGCAGCTCATCCTCGCGCCACAAGAGCAAGCGGGAGCGTGAGCACCATCGAGAGCATCATCGCGAGAAGAAGCGACATTCGGTGGCCGAGTCCATCCTTACCGATGAGGAGCAGCAGCAGCCGCAGCTCATGCACTCGCATCTCCAGCTTCACCATCAGCAGGAGGAGCAGCAGCAGCAGCAGGAGGAGCATCAGGAGCATCATCATAATCCACATAGACGCACCTCAGCTACTGGCAGTGGCTCTGCGGGAGAGCTGAGCTCCGCTCCGACCAACACCTCCAGCGGCAAGGGCCATCGGGAGGGTGGACATCATCACCACCACCACCGAAGGAGGAGCGTGGACAGAAAGTCGTCGCGGGGCTCCGATGAGGGGCACCACTCCTCGAAATCCTCACGCAGCAAGCTGATGATGCTCAGCTCCGCGGACTCTGACGACACGGATGATGCCTCCAAGAAGCACTCTATCTTCGACATACCCGATGACTGTCCAAATGTCTCGATGTACGACAAGGTGAAGGCCAGAAGCTGCAAGAACATGCAGCGGCAGGCGGAGGAGAAGAAGATCAAGGCCAAGTTCTCGCAGCTGAAGCAGTCGCGGGCCAAGAAGAAGCGCTCCACCAGCTACGACGGCGACTCGGACACTGAGTTCGAGGATCGCCATCACAGGAACAGCGGCAGTAGCAGCTTCCACGGCCGCCACATTGGCCTGTCCAGCAGCGACGACGACGACGATGAGGATGAGATGATGCACAGCCACAACCAGAGCCGCATATTCTCCGATTCGGATGCGAGATCCGAAGTCGATCACGAGGCGGTGGCCAGTCGTGTGCTCCAGATGCAGCAGAATCTGCGTCGTCTGTGCGATGGGGACGACAGCTCCGAGGACGAGATACGCAGGAACTTCACGAAGCACAATCAGCACGGAAAGCGCAACTCCCACACGACGCGCATTGCCTCCGATTCGGAGTCGCAGTCGCAGCCCGGGGCACCCGAGATGCTGCAGATCAAGCAGGAGCCACAGCTGCAGGCAGACATGGAATTGGATATGGAACTGGAACTGGACTCGGAGATCAAGCAGGAGCAGCTGTCGGATGGGGGAGAGCAGAAGACAGAGTTCAAGTCGCGCCACGACTCCAACTCATCGATGGAGGAGCGCAAGCTGAAGACGGAGATCAAGAAGGAGTATGGCGATTTCTATACCTCTGCCGGTGGCTACTCCAATACCTACTCGGACTCTGGCACGGGCAAGATCAAGGACTACTCCCCGGAGGCGCGCAAGAAGCACAAGAAGAGCAAGAAGCGCCTCAAGTCATCCTCCTCCAGAGATGTAGAAGCCCAGCAGCAGCAGCAGCAGCAACCCCAGCCATCCCTCGTTGTGTCCATAGCCACGCCGTCGATCTTCGATGTGCACACATCCGATTTGAAAGGCAACAAGTTTGTGGATGGCTTTGAGGATCTCAAGGTGGAACGGGAGCAGCGTGAGCGCGAGCGAGAGAGTGTCCTGCCCATATCGTTGGACATTTCGGCGAGTGAGCGGCGTAAGCACAAGGAGCGCAAGGAGAAGAAGCGCGAGAAGCTGAGGAACCTCACTGCGGAAACAAACAGCTGCGGGAATAGCGCTACCAACGCTGGAGCTGCCACCACAGCTTCACACATGTGCAGCAGCAGCACACCAGCAGCAGCAGCAGCAACGGGAGCACCAGCAACGGCAGCTACAGTTCCGCCTGTCAGCAGCAGCAGCAACGAGCTCGGCGAGAAGTTGGAGAAACTGTCCAAGGAGGAGCGACACCGCTTGAAAAAGTCCAAGAAATCCAAAAGTTTGGACACCTCATCCTCCTCCTCCACGAGGCTGTACAATGCCTCCGCCGTCAGCAGCCTTGCGGCACCAGCGGCAGCAGCTGCAGCAGCCACAACAGCAGCAGCCTCGCCAGTGCCTGCGTCTGTGCCTGTGTCCCTGCCCATTCCTGCGACGCCCAGCTCCGCGCCAGCTCTCACGCGGGACAAGACGCGGGGCGAGGACAAGATGGAGTTCATCTTTGGCATCATCTCGGACGAGGATGAGTCGCAGTTCACAGACGAGCAGCCAGAAGGCGGCGCCAAGGAGATCTCCACGCGAGAACCGATTGTGTCTGCAGCCCTGCAGACCTACAAACAGGAGCCACCAGCCACACCGCCCTCGGCCAAGGTACAGGTCCAGGAGAACCAATTGCCCAGCCAAGAGGAGCAGCCAACTGTGGAGAGAGCACGCCAGACGGGCGGCACTTCCTCCTCCTCGTCGCACGCGGACAGAGAGCGTCATCGCAAGGAGAAGCGCGAGAAGAAGCGACGCGAAAAGTCCCATCGAGAGCAGCAGCAGCAGCAGCAGCAACAGCAGCAGCAGCAGGCGGCGGCCCAACAGCAATCCACGTCCAGTGCCACGAAAATCGAGGACGACAACAGCGTGGACATGGATGAGGCGGGACGTGCCTTGGAGGCTCAACTGATGGACGACTTTGACAGCAAGATGATGCCCGATGAGGCCACCCCATCGACGGCCAACACCTACAGATCGGACATGGCCGATGTGTTCCGCTTCTCGGACAACGAGGACCACAACTCGGTGGAGATGAAGCTGCCATCGTCGATGGACAAACTCGGCAAGCAGCCGGCGGAGGAGCAGCACAAGAGCAAGGACAAGAAGAAGAAAAAGAAGCGCTCCAAGGAGGAGAAGCAGGAGAAGCTGCTGCGCAGGGAATCCGTGCCCACGCCGGGAGTTGCTGCGGGTGCTTTGTCAGCACCCCCGACGCCCGGCAAGCTGACGGTGAACGTTCAGGCAGCCGCCAAGCATGCGGAGGATCATATGGACGCCAATCATCGCCCTGCATCGCCGCCGCTGTGCAAGCCCTCGCCGAGTCTGCCCTGCCTCATTGGAGACGATGACGACGAGGATGTGGCGCCCGCGAAGGTGGTGCCCGTGCATCCCTCAGTCAACCTGCCACCGAGCACGCCCACCACCAGCGCACGGGGCAGCGACAGCCTCACACCATCGCGCGAGAAGCCGCGCCTGATCAGCCCCATTCCCAAGACGCCGACCATCACGAACAGCTCCATGCTGTCCACACAGTCCGCAGAGACGCCAGTGAGCAGTGGACCAGCGGCGGGAGCCAACAGCTCGGCACTGGCCACGACACCCACATCCTCGACAACAGCAGCTGCGGCCGCCGCAGCAGCCTCTGCGGAGAGTTCTCCGACGAGTGCGGCCCTCGGGAAGAAGAAGGAAATCTTCATTCCCGGCTTCGATGGCCAGCTGGATGACAGGATCAGCGAGTCGGCTGTGCAGTCCATCTCGGCGGAGTTCAACAGCGGCTCCCTAATGGATCCTTTGGGAGATGAGCCCAAGATACCGGTGGCCTCGCCCCCGGGAGCCACCAAACCTCTGGATAAAATGGAGGACAGCAAGTCGCGGGTGACCATCTCCCAGGAGGAGACGGAGAGCGCCGTGTCGGCGCTGCTGGGCGAGAGCTTTGGCACCTCCTCGACGGCCGATTACTCGCTGGACGGCATGGACGAGAGTGAAATGGAGACGCCGGCCATTGTGGTGGCCGAACCCGATGAGGAGGCCGCCTTGGCGGCCAAGGCCATCGAGGGAGCCGTCGAAGTGGAGCCACCAGCCACTCTGGAAGATGAACCCGAGGCAGAGGCAGGCACAGAAGCTGAAGCGGAAGCAGAGCCGCCAGTTGTGGTGGGTGCCGGAGGCGTCCTGGATCCCGATGAGATCAACAAGGCTGTGCAGAGTCTGAAGCACGAGGACATGATGGACATCAAGGCGGACACGCCGCAGTCGGAGAGAGATCTGCAGATCGACACGGACACCGAGGAGAATCCCGACGAGGCAGACAGCAGTGGACCGAGTCTCAAGATTGATGAGACCGTTCAGAGCTCCTCCTCGCCCGAGAAGTCCATGTCGAGCAGCAGGGAAGCAGCGGCCAAGCCATCTCCACCCAAGGAGGAGAAGAAGTGTCCACCTTCGGTCATCACGAAGTTGCCATCTTTGGAGCAGAAGCCACCATCAGTGATGATCAGCGGCAGCTCCATGACATCTTCCCCAGCGAAGATTGAGCCGCCGACAATCAGCAAACTGCAGCAGCCGCTGGTGCAGCCCGTGCAGACGGTGCTACCCGCTCCGCCGGTGCTCCAGCCACCAACCGTATCTGTATCGAAAGCTCCTGCAGCAGCTGCAGCAGCGGTGCCTGCAGCGGCACCTACACCACACACGACACCCACGCCCGTCATCAATCTGGATCTGTCGAATGTGATGGGCAACTGCTCGAACAGCAGCAGCTCCGTGTCTCCCTCGATCTCGTTTGGGAGTCCTACGCCCAGCCAGAGCATTCCCTGCATGCCGCAGGCCTCGACGCCCAAGCAGACGCCCCAACAGCTGGCACTGCGCACGCAGTCGCTCATCATGCAGCCACCGACCATTTCCATACCGGAGCAGACGCCACACTTTATGGTGCCCCACATGGTACTCTCCCCCCACCATCCGCAGCAGCAGCAGTCGACGCCAGGAGGTTACATGATGGGCATACGGGCACAATCGCCACACAGTCCGCTGCTGTCGCCGGGACGGGGCGGACCAGCCATCAATCGAGTGGTGGGTCAACTGAGTCCAGCAGGTCGTCCCGTGGCAGGGGTGAACCAACAGCAGCAACATGCTCTGATGACATCCCCGCAAGGCGGCAACATGAGTCCTCTGGCCAGTCCCACGCAGCGTTTGGTGGCCAGCAATGCCACATCACCCACCACGAGTAAGCCAAACAGCAGCTACCAGCCACGAGCACAGCCTCAGCAACACCAGCAACACCAGCAACAGCAACAGCCATCGCCCAAGTCGCTGATGGATCTGCAATCGTCGCCACAACTGATTCCCATGCCCATGCAGAAGATGCCGCCGATGCAGGTGCCACACCACCCGACAATCATCAGCAAGGTGGTGACAGTGCAGCCGCAGCAGGCCACCCAGTCCCAGGTGGCAAGTTCACCGCCTTTGGGCAGCCTGCCGCCGCACAAGAACCTGCACGTGAATGCACAGCCACAACCGCAACATCATCAGGCGCAACAGCAGCAGCAGCAGCAACAGTTGTCGCCGCAAATGATGTCCAAGATGACGGCAGCGCATCAGCAGCATCAACATCAGCAGCAGGTGCATCAGTTTATGCATCAGCAGATGATGCAACGACAACAGCAGCAGCAACAGCAGCAGCAGCATATGCAACAGCAGCAACATGGACATCAGCAGTCGCAACAGCAGCAGCAACAACTGCAACACCATGGACAGCAGCATCATCAGCTGCAGTTGACGCCGGCGCATCAACATCAGCTGCAGCAACAGACGGCACAGCAGCAGGGTCTGACTCCCGCGCAGCATCAGCACTTCCAGCAGCAGCACCAGATGAACCAGCAGCAACAGCAGCAACAGCAGCAGCAGCAACAGCAGCAGCAACAGCAGCAGCAGCAGCAACAGCAACAGTTGAACCAACAGCAGCAGCAGGCACAGCAGCAGCAACATCAAGTGCAGGCACAGCAGCAGCAGCAGTTGAACCAACAGCAGGCGCTGCAAGCGCAGCAGTTGCACATTCAGAAGCTGCAACAACAGATACAACATCCTTCCCAGCAGCAACAGCAGCAGCAGCAGCCTCCACACTTGGGTCCGCCGCCACCGATGTTTGCCCAGCATCCACCACGCGGCATGCCGAACCAGCAGCAGCAACAGCAGCAGCAGTTGCCACACAGTCCGCCCTGCAAGCCAAATCCAATGGTGCACAGTCCATCATTGCTGGTGAGAGTGCCACAGCCTCAGCAGCAGCAACAATCGATGCAGCAGCAGCAATCCTCGCCTGGAGCCACTCAAATGCCGCACCCAACGCCGCAGCTGAATGTGATTCAGAGTCCAAGCAACAAGCAGCAGATGATTGTCCAGCAGCACATTGTGCCAGCGCCAGCAGGCCAGGGACAAGGACAAGCACCGAGCACAGCCAACGCGATTCACTATCCAACGCAACAAACGACTGCAAATGCAAATCCAAATCCAAAGGAGAACCCAGTGGAGAAATCTCTGGCCATGAAGACGTCGGAGAGTGTTTCGGTGATTCGCACGCCGACACCAACGACCAGCGGCAGTCCGGCGATAATATCACCAAAGGCGGCAGCCAGTGCCACATCATCCCTGCTGACGGAGGAGAATCTCATCAAGATATCGCAGCCCAAGCAGGATGAGCTGATTGAGCAGGACTCAAAGGAGGTGGACAGCGACTATTGGTCCGCCAAGGAGGTGAATATCGACAGTGTGATCAAGAAGCTGGACCCTCCTGCAGTCATCAAGGAGGAGAAGCGTTCGCCCATCGAGAAGCCAATGCCACCGACAGTCGCTCCACCCGTGGAGGTACCACCAGTGGAGATAGCAACACCAGCTCCAGCTCCTGCTGCTCCTGCTCCTCTGCCATCTGTCACCATCAACAGTTCGGTGAACGATCACGATACGGAGGACGAGACGGAGACACGGCAGATGCCACCGAAGCCCAGCACTCCGACTGTGGGCAGGCCGCCGGGTCGTGGAGGCGCCAGCAAGCGTGGCCGACAGCCGCGTGGTGCCAAGAAGCAGGGAGGACTTCCGCTGACCACGCCAGGCGCTGCACCAGGCGCAGATGCTGGCGTAGGCATCACTCCCGGCGACAATGGAGTGCAGACACGGCTGAGGAAGCCGGTGACTGCGCCTGTGACGCGGGGCCGGAAAGGTCGTCCGCCCAGGAATCTCCTGCTGCAGCAGCAGCAGCTCCAACAGCAGCAACTCGCGCAGCAGCAGCAGCAGAAGTCCATGGAAATGGCAACACCCACACCCACAGCAGCAGCTGTTGCCGCGGTGACACCCATTCCAGTGCCGACGGCCGCGGAGAAGAAGGCCCGGAATCAGGCGCTGACTCAGGCGACTCCGCCCGGTGTGTCTAGGTCCAGCCAGGACATCTATGAGTTCAACGATGACTCCGGAGAGGCGGAGCCCAAGCCGAAGATTGCGGCTGTGGTGCCGCCAGTGGAGGATCAGCGGCCGCGTCTCATTCTAACAATCAACAAGGCGCAGCCGTCGATTAAAAGCAGCACCGAAGTGGAGCCACCAGCAGCGCAGGCGCCACAGTCACAGGCAGAGGCACAAGCACAGTCGCAGCCGCAGTCGCAGCCACAATCCCTGCCCCACAACGATGCCATCATCAGCGACAATTCGAGCGAATCGAGCAACACGCGCAAGTCGCGCCGCCTGCAGGAGAAGGAGGATCGCAGCACAGTGGATGACATCATCGAGGATGTGGTGCGGAATACCAACACCCAAATGGCCGCAGGACTCGTCCAGCAGCTGCCGAAGGGCGCACAGACGCCTCCACGCCGCTCCGGACGGAATGCGCAGACAAAGAAAACGGATCTCGTGAGCACCACGAATGCTGTGGGTCGTCCGCGACGCTCCAAGGACAGGAAGACCATCTCGGAACCGCTGTCGAGCCTGATGGAGGACTCATCGCAGTCCTCGTCGCCTGCACCGCCTGCGACTCCCATTCTGCATGCCCCCGAGCAGCCACATATGCCGCAGCTGGACAGCAAGGAGATTGAAGCCAAAACAGCCACGCCATCTGCTGTTCCTTCGGTTCCCGTGCCAGTGCCTGTTCCTGCTGCAGTGCCAGTGATGCCCGTGCCAAAGCCCTCGATACCGCAGCATCCCAAGAAGAAGGCGATTGCCGCAGCGGAGATCGAATCGTATCAGGCCATAAACTCGTCGATTCCCAGCGGCGGGCTGCCCATGCATCAGACAGCAGCTCCGGCAGCCACGCAGAAGATAACTGGCGGAGCAGCGGATGCTGTGAGCAAGGCTTTGGTGGATCCCGTCACGGGTGTCATCACTGCGGGTATGCCACAGGGCAAGGAGGGTAACCTGCCGGCAGCCACAGCTGCAGCACCCACCAATAGCAGCAGCAGTGAGGCGGCACCACCCATGCAGCAGCATCAGCAGCAGCAACACCATCAGCAGCAACACCACCAGCAACAACAGCCGCTTCCACAGCAGCAGATCAATGCCACAGTTTTGGCCCCATCTAAGGCGGCGCCCATCACGGCGCTCGGCGGTAACAAAGCCGTGCAGCTGGAGGCAGCTGCTGCAGCGTCTCTGCTGAACAAACCCGTCAGCGTGTTGGTCAAGGGCAATGCCAATGCCTCACCTTTGGTGATGCAGCAGCAGGGACAACCGCAGTTGGTGGCGCCACCAAAGCAGCAACCGATTGTGCTGCAGCAGAACCCATTGCCCACAGTGTTGCAACATGCGCAGCTGAGCAACGTGCGGCCACCACAGCCACTGAAGGCGCATGTCCTGAACAGGGAAAAGAATCTCCAGCAGCAGCAACAGCTGACGCCCACCAAGCAGCCAACGGTTGCGGGGCACATGCTGCTCACAGATGCAGCTGGGAATCAGCTTCTGCAGCCACAAATCATAGCACGACACCTGCAACAGCAGCAGCAGCAGCATTTGCTGGTAAATGTGCCACCACCATCGGCACATTCGCCGCATTCCCCGAGGATTCAGGGACAACAGCAGCAACACCAGCAGCAGCAGCAGCAGCAGCAGATGGGAGCAGCAGCACCTATGCCACAACAGCAGCAGCAGACGCTCGTCATCAAGCAGGCCACATCTGCAGCACCACCGCAGATTCTGCATGTCGTGAGCTCAAAGGCTTCAGTGGTGCCACAGGCGCAGCCACAGCAGCCACTGCCACCCGCCGCCTCTGCAACAGGACACATGCAGCAGCTGGGAAAGCCCAACTTTGGCTACGTGCCCACTGTTCTGCCATCTGCCACATCCGCGGCAGCAGTGCAGCATCAGCATCAGCTGTACAAGCCACCCAACCAGCAGAAGACTGCACAGCCGCAGGGCGTGCAAGTGCAGCTGGCGCCACATGGTCTGCCCATGCTGCCCAACCATCCAGGATTGCTGCTGCAGCAGAAGGCCCCCGCGCATCTGCAGCCGCAGCAGCATCAGTTGACGCCCTCGCCGCCGCCCGGCAAGCCGAATCCCGTGGTGCACAGCCTGCAGGTGCAGGCAGGACAAATGATGCCCGGCAGTGTGGGCAGTCCGCCGCCCGTCTCCGTCGTGCTCAAGTCTGCGCAGCAGCAGGCTAACTCGGCAGCAGTCGCAGCAGCAGCAGCGGGTAAGTGCCAGGCGACTCCAGCAATCGCTAGCAAAAGGACTGCAACTAATTCTCGATCCTCTGTAGTGTTGCGCACAGCCATACCCAACATCAGTCCGCAGGGACAGCCGAGGGTTTCCCCACTGGTGCTGCCGCCAGGCATGCCGGGAGTGCCGCCGTTCGATACGAGTCTGGTAAGCATCTCCCTCAGTTCACTCCTAATCACAGCTAATCCTATGCCAAGTGTAATTGTAAACAAAACTAATCCTGAAACTAACTTTAAACTCTTGAAATTGCTAACATTGTGGACGCTGCAGCATGATCTGGGTGCCTATGTCAGTGGACGACGCACCCAGAGCCCGCCGCCGGCCCATCAGCAGGCATCGCCCATAACACCGGTAATGCACGAGCTTTACTTGTGGAGCATACAAGTAGCGTAATCCCAATAACCCACCCAACACACAAGCAGAACGAGAGAGAGCACACAGCAAACAGCTTGAGGAAACCTTTTACTAACACTATTCTTCATTATATTCCTTGCAGAACGATGCCACGTATCGTGGTGTGGCTGCCTCCAGGGACTTTATGCTCTATCAGCACCATCTGATGCGCAGCGGCGACTACGACGACAAGATGATCAGCAACAGTCCGCCGTTGGAGCTGCGGCGACCAGGCAGTGGTCCGCCGCGCACCATTGCAGTTCCTCACAGCATGCAGAGTCCGCAGGATCGCACAGCAGCGGGTAAGTCCTAAATGAAAACGCTCTTGAGGAATTCATAAATCATTAATATATTCCCCTTGGTTCGTTCCCCTTCAGACTCTCCACAAATGGCGCAGGTCTATGTGCATAATGCGCGCATTCCCCATGCCCACTTCAGCGACATGGCCACTCGGGCGAGCTACTACGAGAGCGGCGGCATACAGCTGGAGCCGCCGCCAGCCCATCGACCAGCGGCCTCCATCAGCGTGGTGGTGCCGCCACCGCCTGTCGGAGCGAGCGTCAGTCCGTTCCTGAGTCGTGATGGCAGCCTGCAGCTGGAGGATCGGGAGAGGGAGATGGAGCGCATGTCCATGATCGCAGCAGTCGGTAAGTGTCTGCACTCACGAGCACGAACAGGAATAGCAGCCATGACTGATGCACATTTTCCATTCCGTTTTACAGTCAAACAGCAGCAGGAGCAAATGCCAGCAGCTGTACTGCACGCTGGCATGGAGCTGGCCGCCCAACAGCAGGCACCGCCAGCAATGGCCCCGCCGCCGGGTGACTCGCTCGTGACACTGCTGCAACGCTATCCCGTGATGTGGCAGGGATTGCTGGCCCTGAAAACGGACCAGGCTGCCGTTCAAATGCACTTCGTGCACGGAAATCCGAATGTGGCGCGTGCCTCGCTGCCGAGCCTGGCGGAGAGCAACACGCCGCTGCTGCGAATTGCCCAGCGTATGCGCTTGGAGCAGACGCAGCTGGAGGGAGTAGCCAAGAAGATGCAGGTGAGTGCACCTCTCTCAGCTCTGGTTGCTAATCGGATGATAATCGAGTGTCTTTCCCATGAACAGGTGGACAAGGAGCACTGCATGTTGCTGGCCCTGCCTTGCGGCCGAGACCATGCCGATGTGCTGCAGCACTCGAGGAACCTACAGACCGGATTCATCACCTATCTGCAACAGAAAATGGCCGCCGGTATTGTCAACATACCCATACCGGGCAGTGAACAGGCCGCCTACGTGGTGCACATCTTCCCGGCCTGCGACTTTGCCAATGAGAACCTGGAGCGTGCCGCTCCGGATCTCAAGAATCGTGTGGCCGAGTTGGCACACCTCCTGATTGTCATAGCCACTGTCTAAGTGACTGGCAGTGGCTGAACCTCCGGACTCTGACTATGTAAAACTCCAGGATGAACACCTTACCCAGCCTCAGACATAAAAGAAAACCCCACAAGAACTACCAGAGACAACCAACAAAACCAACAAAACAAGTTACGCTCTTCTAGTATTTTAAGTAATTTTAAATAGCGATTAAACAAGCAAAAGTTTAAAAAAGCAAAAAGCAAAGCAAAAATAACTTAAACAAGCAGAAATCACATGCAAACTTTATTGAATAAATAAATGCAAGAAACGAGAGATGAGAATATGTAAAGAGGAATGAAGAATGTCCAAAAGAACAGAACTCAAACAAAGCGAAAAGCTAAAGCGAAAAGATCCCTTCCGCAACCACTTGTACACTTTAAAGGCAAAAGCAAACGCAAAAGCGAAACACGATGAATATATATTTGTCTAAATTTAATTATTTAACCTTCCTCTAATTTAATCCTTTAAAAGAAACAAGAAAAGAAAAGCTTGCAAAGTATCGTTAAGTTTGATCTCAAGAAAAGAAAGTTTTATTTTTTGCTTAATTTAAAATGAAAGAAAACGTAAGAAAAAAACAAACACAAGAACAAGAACACACATACACACACAAGCAAATGTTAAACGAAAAAAAAGCTTAAAACATGATAACTGTTTACTGTACTATGCATACTACTACCCATACCAATACCATACCATACATAATATGAATATCCGATTCTATCAACCCCAAATACCCCTCTCTAGCCTAACACGTTTAAGTTTTTTGATTGGTGACTACTCCAAGGGTCCCATCCCGTCCCGTACAGTGCCCCAAATACTTTTTCACATCTTACAAAGTTTCCGCCAGAAAGAAAGTCCTAGAATTTGTTGTTGATTTTTCCATTATTCGGTTCATTGGCTCCATGGAAGGCCCTCACTCTCCCGGTATGGAAGAAAGGCCTGGCATGGACCCAAGAACCCACATCGAGCGCCCAAGAACCAACCAACCTACCTGTCTGGTGTGGTCTGATCTGTCGCCAATGCTGTTTGAAGCACAATTAGGTTTAAAGATGCGCCCAGAGGCTTTTCCTACGATTACATACACACGTATACATTACATTATATTACCATACACATACACGTACACGTACACAACATATACACATACACTACGAGTATATAGAGAGTATTTAATTATAAACGAATATGTGTTAAGCCAAATATTTTAAAGTTTAGAGAGAGAGCTCTGCACCAGAGCACCACCTTGTTTAACACCAAAATCCCCACAACGTGGGGGTCATTTCGGACTATCGTCGTTGTGGGTCTTTTAGTGCGAACATTTATTTCTATTGGATCTTTTTTGGTTTTGTCGATACTACATTACAACACCACCACTGCCACAACATTAAAACACTGGACTAAATCTAAATAGAGGCGTTCCGTTCCGTTGTCCCTGATATTTCAGTTGATACATTTTCCTTTAGTTTGTGCGCGTGAAACTTAGTAAGATGCTAGTTTAAGGAACGGTGGTGCTGGGCCGGGGGGAACCCTCTTTATACCCTCATAAGCCCAATGATGACACATACACAGACCTAAACATACCCACGACACCATATGCTATACAATAAACAATATAGTACTACCCTCTCTGTACACTCCTTAAACTTAAACGTACGTTTTCACGCCCACTTGTAAATTATGTGACGACAACAAACAGATGAAACAAGAAGAAGAAACAGAAAAGATAAAAAGCAAAACAAAAGCGAAAACAAAAAAAGAAAAGAAAAGAAAACAAAACAAAACACAACTGTAAAATATTTAAATTATTTAGAATCTAACACAGATATATGAAATGTAAATACAGTTTAATTAGTGTTTAGCGCGTATTTAGTTGTATGTTTTAAAACTAAACTAAAGAGAAACTGTACATTATATAACACAACTAATTATACGAAAGCAAAAACAAACACAAACACGAAACGATCGAGATCAGAGAAAGAGATGAGATCAGATCAGATCAGATGAGATCAATAAGAAACATTTAAACAGAAAGTAAAACAAATAATAACAAATTTCAAACAGATACGAAGCGCTGTTCAACATATGTTTATGTATAAGTTGTACGTTTTAAGCCACTTTTTAGTTATTTCCTAAGTTAATTTGAAGAAAAACGATTAAATTACACTTATTTCTTACACTTGGTTTCGTTTCTTCTTATTATTATATTTTTCTTTCAAACTATTGAAACTAGTGATCGCGTGATCCCCAGACACTTTCGACCTCTCTCCTAACAGATCCAGATCCAGACAACTGTCTGCTTTGATTGTTCACAATAGCGTTGTTGGTTGTTCAGATAAATCGTTATCTCTCTCTCAGCCCGCGAATACCAAAACAGAACCGAACCCATTAGCGAAATGCAACTTATACATACATATATACATAATATATATAGATGTTAATGTTATAACTGTAATTAAATAAATTCTATACCTATGCATTATGACGGTGTTGGTGTTTGTCGATTCTCCCTCCTCTCCACTGATTTTGGTTTTCGAATTTCAGAATATGCTCAGATGCTGCAGATGTCCTGAAGGAGAAATATGAGCATACGATTTTTTTCGTGCACTTTCTTGACGTCGTCCATACTTCTGTTTATTTTCAACATTTGGTTGCTTTCCTCACCATCAAACACAAATAAACTGTTCTCATGCACTTAATTTAAATTGATATTCAACGATAACCGAACCGGTTAAATCGGCTAAGGGAACGCTATGCGAGCTGTCTCGCTATTGAGATTTTTCTTCATACTAAACGTGGTCACACCAAAATCTCAAACAATTTTCACTCGAGTTACACTCACTCAACTCAGAGTTTATGGTATTCTTTACAATTTACAGCATGCTGCGAAAAGTGAGCAGCATTGTTCCGCAACATTTGGCACGGAATAAGCACCATTTATTACCCTTGGAGGAATAGATATCCTCGAATTGAGGATATTTTGGAAAACTGGCTCCAATAAAAAAAAATCAAATCAATCTATGTTGGTTAGCAGTCTCACCGAAATTTCGCAGATTATATATATATGGTACATTAAAAACTAGTCATTATTAAAATTTGAGTACAGCTTGGAAAACGAAATTTTAGCAATCATTAATGGAGATAGGGTACACAAATGTACATCATATAATACCACCAGTTGAAAAGCAACAAATTGTCAAATACGTAACATTCCATTCCCACTCACGTAAGTTTTATGCTGTTTTTTATCGGTTACCTTGTTTGTTTGATGCTTATTTCGTAAGCAATATATTAAAAAAATTCATGAAAACTAGCCGATCTTGGAAAAAATTGATTGGTTAATTCGATAAAATTACATTTTTAAAGCTGAGAGTCCTAACTAGAGGGCAATATTAGTTAGAAGAACAAAGTCGAGGAAAACGGTTTTGTATCTACGGTATATTTATGGTATATTTTGTAAATGCCAAGGTAATTTCGATATATGATTGAGAATCGCGCGGTATCTATTCAATCGATAACCGCGGTCGCACATTAAAAATTGTAAATAATTTAATAATAAAAGATAATAATTGCGATTGTTAAAATAGACTGTTATTGGATCTCTGTCCAATCAGACTGTGACATTGATTTTGCGGCTGTAACGGAAAGCGTTTTGCCGTTCCAATTGGATCTCTCGTTTTTACACTCAAACAATTTTCTTCTTCTTTCTTCGTAGCTCCACCGAGTGAATTTGTAATAAAATATAAATATAACACCACAAAGAACCCAGAGCAACATTGAGACATGGCCAACTTGATGCAGAGAAGTAAGTGCTGACTGCAATTCTATTGCCATGCTGATTTTTGGCGGCACTTAATGTCGGCTGGTTGTTATACAATCCGATAAACTATTGTACGTATTTGTCCCTTACAGGCCTGCCACTGGCTAGCATACGCAGTCCGGTGCTGCAGTTCCTCCGTTTCCGTGGAAAAATCAATATACAACGTCCAAAGGAGCCACATTATGAGCGAGCCCGTGTGATTGCCGTCACACAACCCAAGTACCCGGAGCTGCCGAAGGCACGCTCGTGCTTCAAGACCCGCGCAGAACGCACACAGGAACAGCTAGTGAATCCCTACAACGAGATCATTGCCCGTGAAGTACGAAACTGGCTGAATCACTCGCAGCTGGTGGCCATCTTCCACATGAACTCCATTAGCTCTGAAGAGGTCTTTCGGGTGCGCGTCCAACTGCACAAACAGAACCTGCATTTGAAGTCGTACGGCCGCAAGATCATTAACCAGGCCGTGACCGGCACGCAGTATGAGGCCATCATGCCACTCTTCCACTCGAATCACTGCATTGTGTTCTCCCCAAACCAGCAGCAGATTGGCCAACTACTGAAGATCACACGCAGAGTGCCGCAGATGGTGCTGCTGGGTGGCATTGTGGAGCAGACGCTGCTCAGCCGAAATGAGCTGGTGGCCTATGCACAAATGCCAGGACTACAAGGGGCTCAGGCACAGCTCGTGCAAACCCTGAACATGGCAGCTGGCCAACTGGTGCAGCATCTGCAGGCGCATCAGGGCAATCTTGTGCAGGTCCTGGACGTGCACGTCAAGGGCACCAGCAATGGCAACAGCACAGAGACGACGGACGAGTCATAATATTGTAATTGTTAAATAACAAGAAAAGCAAAAAAGTGATTAATTTGTCTTTCATACTAAACTAGCAGCTAGAAATGTTAACTACGACTAGATTGCACTTTTCCAACGGGCCTGAATCTTCTGCTGGAATGATGGCGTCAGATGCGTTTCGGGTGCAGATGCGATGCCGCTGCCGGTGTCTCTCTCAGGAGCTGATCGTTGTCATGTGATGCCAGCGCTGTCTGCAGTTGAAGGCGAGATTCGCCAGAGCCTCGGCGGCATCCAGTTCATCCTTGTGATGCTGCATCCAGCCATCACCGCGAGCCGTGGCCGTGACAGGTCGCTCCTGCCCCTGTCCCTGTCCCTGTCCACTGCCACATTTTTGTCTAGTTGCAAGTGCACGTTCAATAGAAAATCGATCACAGAACGTAACTACTCCTTACCTGCTCGTATTCCATTCGATGTGGTAATTGTTTCGGTCTGGCGTGAATTTCGCTGCGCTCTCCAGCCACTTGTTGAGTTGTGTGGCGGTGGCTGGCTGCGTGGTCGTTGGCCCCGTTGCCTCATCCTCTGCTGTGCTATCCCGCAGATACTTCTCCATCATTTGGTGCTTGTACTTGGGCCTGCGCATCGGCACAGTGGGCAGCATGGGAATGCGTTGACTACTGTGCTCCGACATATTCCCAGACTCCACGTAAAAGTTTGGCTTGTACACAGCTGTGGAGGCGTTGTTGGCATTGCCATCGCTGCCAGTGCTGCGGCTGGACAGCTCCAGCTCATCGTCATCGTAGTCACCATCGTCGTCTTCGCCCACACATGGCCGCATCTCCTCCTCCCATATGCTGTCCTCCGATGAGATGCTGAACTGCTCGACATTCCCCCTTGCATTGTGGTTGTAGTTCTTGATGAGGTGTCCCCACGACTTTTTGGCCTTCTCCCGCTCCGAGTTCTTCAGCTTGCGCCGCCAGTTGGCGAACCAATTGCAGATCTGGGTGTACGTCAGGCCCGTCTCTCCCGCTAGTTGCTTCTTCTCCTCCCTGCTGGGATAGGGATTCTCCCGCCGTCGTATGAGCCAATCCTTCAGCATGCGCTTGATGTCTGGCGTGAACAAACGCTTGGCAGCCCTCATCGGCTGCTGCAGCTCATCCTCTGGTGGCCAGGCACGTCTGCAAATTCCATAACATCTGCTCGAATCAAACTGGGAGATTCTTCGATCATGTCACATACCTGCTGTGGCGACGATTACGCTTGGGTCGCGAGGACGAAGTCTTCTCCATGGCACTGGCACTGACACTCTGCAAGTGGAAAGAGAACACAGATGAGCGATCTGTTCTAACGATAATAAAGCCAATCCAATCATTTATAAATACTCTCTGTAAGTCAATTCAATTTCAAAACTTTCGGTGGGTGGCGCTATTTCTGGCCGACCCGACGAGTTTTCATGTTTTTTGGCTCTGTTGCTGTTTTCTTTACGTTCTCAAATTAACGAAACGAAACAAATATTTTGGTTTTGTCGCGAGAACACAAGAGAGAGGGAGAGAGAGAGGATAGGTAGGTGGATATCACCAAGAGAAAGAGAAAGTTTCCTCCCCCCAATATGGAAAGACATTCAATGTATGTTAAGGGTCTCTGATATTCTCGGTTGAGCAATTCATTGATAAAAATCCTAAACGAATCATGTTTTTCCACAAACCAAACTGTACATATTTACATATATATTTATGTATGTGTATACATAGGTATATTTATACCTCCACGCTCTTCAGTGTGACAATGGATGGACACAGAATATGTAGATCCATGATGTTTACGATTCTCAGCTAATTGTTCATCCACGGGGGCCCTTAAGCGTAAATGGCACAGGCACTTTTTGCTTTTGTTTGCTATGTGGGGGAAACGAAAAGTGCCTCTGCACTTTTGTTGACACTCTCAGGTAATTGTGTTAACATTTATTATATAATCCTTATGGGCTTGTTTTTCAACCCAATTCGAAAACCTCTCATTTTACTAGGACTGGACACGAATCGAGCTGTCTTTGGGGTTGCTGCTGTTAGTTTTGCGTTTGGTTTGTGGATCACTTTCTGCGCACCCACCTGTAAATTTTGCAAATTTGAATTTTGAAATTGTGTTCTATTTGAGAATTCGGTGGCCCGACGAATGGTCAAGTGTGTCGCTCGTTGGACGTACTCCCGCGAACTGAACGCAACGCTCTCAACAGTTTTCAAAAACGAAGAACTCAACACTTATCACACGAATGTGTGCGGCAGGCAGACACTTTCAATCTATTTACAAAACACGACAACAAATCGGATCGTAGTTCGTTCGGAATTCGTCTTTCTATCCAAAAAACTTACTGAGTATTCTCAGTGCACGGCTTGCGAATTACTTTCGCTCTCGATATAATTTTCATTGCTGCAGCAGTCGGATGGGATCGGGTGGAATGGGATGAGTCGCTCGGTGGCCATGACGTCTGAGTAAATATAAAGTGTGTCGCAAGTACTATGTGTTCATAACAATTTAATGGTTCGCTTAGCAAGGGTCCTTCATCAAAGTATTTCTAGACCATTGCAAGGCTTCGCTTGTAGGCTTCTTCTTCTTCCCCATATTTGAATTTGCTTTACCCGCGAATCTCCTCTTCTTGTTCATTTTTGACATTTGTTACCCGGAAGAACAATGTGACCAGACTAGCGTATCGGAAAGCAACTCTGCCTAGGCAAACTTCGTCGCATTTTCTAATCAAAACAAAGAAGAAAATTTAAAATTAAAACGAAAAACTAATTGCCCGGCAGCTATGAACGAATCTGTGCGTTATGACCGCTGTCAGCAGATCCAGTTGGGTGTCCTGACCGAATCGCAAATGTCGGCGGGCGAGGAGCCGCCCCCACAGGCCCTGGGAACAGGAAACGTAAGTATTCTCTTTTTTCTATTGTTCAACTGACTCATGAGCCATTTTTGCATATTATAATGCGTTTTCTCCCCTACATGCTAAATCCGCTATGTAGATTCTGTTCACTCACGATGGGGTGCTGCTGAAGAAGGCCAGTGCGGAGCATATTTCCGATCTAAACACAAGTGGCTCCTTGTCCTTGGTGGAGTATACGTCGTCAGAGCTGCCTCGCCGCCGTCTGTATCTGGAATGGCAGCCAAACGACAGCATCATGATTGCCGACGACAGCCAGGATCAGGGTGACTGGGCACTGGTGGATAGAATATCGGGGCGGAACCGCACCACCTCCGAGTGCCGCGCCTTCAACACAAAGCCCAGCGAACAGGGCAACGGGACACCAGCCCGCGCGAGAATCATGCGAGTCCTGCTGGATGAACTGGATGCGGTCGAAGTGCGTCATCGCGGTCAGACCATACGGTTCATCCGCAAGTCCGGCGGCGGCGTCCACAGCGAGTTCTTCTTTCAGCATGGCAATGCCGATCTGTTTGTGCGCTCCATGCGGGATCTGCACTTCATAGAGAGCTCCGAGACGACTCGGGGCGGCGAGGAATATGCCATCCTGACCACCGAGAATCAAAAGCTGAAAAAGACCTTTGCGGAGCTGGACATTGGCGATATCAAGTCCAGTCACTTGCCGCGTGAGAGCTGGCTGCCCAACAAGCTGGCTGGCTTCCTAGGCAACATCCCAGACTATGTGCAGCCGCCGTTCCAGCGCTCGCCCAAGTCGCGGCCGGGCACACTGCTGAGTGGCGATCGCCAGACTTCGCCGGACAACTACCAGATAATTGGATTGAGTGGCAGCACCAACAGCGCCTGCTCATCCAACAGCCAGAGCCGCGGAGGCAGTGCAGACAAGTCACCGGCGGACAGCGAGCTGGAGAACCTCAATGCTCAGGACGAGAAAATTGTCAACAACTTGCCCGATCGCCAGAGAGTGGAAAGAGGTTCGTTTTAGGAACAGAAAACTGTTTAAATTCACTTTAATTTTATCGATAAATATGTTTTACTTTGCTGCAGGTTTGCCCCTTACTGAGGCCCAGTGGCTGGAGTTTAAGACACCAGATGGGCGCATCACGGACAGCGACATTGTTAAGGAGATCGTGTTTCGTGGCGGCATAACCCATGGACTGCGCTGCGAGACGTGGAAGTACTTGCTGAACTACTATCATTGGTCCGATACCGAGGCGGAGCGCATGGAGCGGCGCAGGCTAAAGTCGTTGGAGTACTACAACATGAAGGCGCAATGGCTGTCAATGACCACAGCACAGGAGGCAAACTTTTGCGGCTATCGTGAGCGGAAGTGCCAAATCGAGAAGGATGTAAAACGCACCGATCGCTCGCTTCAGTTCTTCGCCGGAGAGGACAATCCCAATCTGGCCCTGCTGCAGGGAATTCTTATGACATACGTAATGTACAATTTCGATCTGGGCTATGTTCAAGGAATGTCGGATTTGCTGGCTCCCATTCTAGAGAATCAGGTGGACGAAGTGGATGCCTTCTGGTGCTTCGTGGGGTTCATGGACATGGTGTTCACCAACTTTGACATGGACCAGGCGGGCATGAAGAACCAATTTGCTCAGCTGCGTCGCCTCATCGAGTTTGCCAATGCGCCATTATTCAACTACATGCGCAGCCATGACTCCGACAATATGTACTTCTGCTTCAGGTGGCTGCTGGTGTGGTACAAGCGAGAGCTGAGCAACGAGGATGTGCTCAAGCTGTGGGAGTGCCTCTGGACGCGCCTGCCCTGTCCCAACTTTCACTTGCTCTTCTCCGTGGCCATTCTGGATCAGGAGACAAATGTGATCATCGAGAGTCAGTACGAATTCACTGAAATACTAAAACATGTCAACGAGCTATCGGGCCACATTCACGTTCCACGCACCCTGGAAATTGCCGAAGCCATCTACTTGCAGCTGAAGGCATCCGAGACGCTGCCCAACGACATTCGCCTCATCATTGGAGAGCCTCTACTGCCGCCAGTGGCAGGCGAGGAGCCGGAGGGAGCAATGGACGAGGAGCCTACCTACTCGGATGATGGCTTCGATGAACTGGTGCCCGAGCCAACGCCTGAGGAGAAGCAACGGCAACAGGCCCTGCTGGAGGAGGCCTGCGAACGGTCACTCTTCCTCACATACCACTAATTTGGAAGGAAACAGGCTAAGCCAAGCCGAGCCAAGCCAAACGCCAGCCCCTAGCAAATCATGCGCAAATTATCTTAGACTTTAAGACTCGAAGTTTACTACCGCATCGAAGCGAAGCGAAGTGCTTTAACTGCTGATACACAGATTTATATATTGTATATTATACATATTTGTACGTTTTGTATTTATTGTAAGTTCTTTCCAATCCCCATCACCCATCCTCACATACCCCACATCCCACTCCATTGGCTAGAGCAATTAATCCCCAATAAGTATACCAAAACAAAAATTTCAAATTACGAGTTGCTAGGAGCCTTATCTCGCGCCCATCGAATTATTGGGAAGTTCGTTTTCGTTTTATCCAACATTCAACACACACGCAGCTGCTGCTTTTATTATTGCCGCCCCCTTTTCTAAGTTTACTCAATTACTGTGAAAATACATACATGTGTAAATACATCAAAAATGCATTATTATAATACAATCAAAAACTGCTGTAGATCCTTCTTCAAATTTAACTACCTTTTATGTGTAATTCATCAAAAGTTCATTAAATAACTAAGAGCGTTCAGGGTCCATCTTCTATCCTCTGTCAGCCATACGCTTCTGCAGTATTTTATTGATGTACACAGCCAAAAGGGGAGCGCTTTAAATCAAGAAAAATTGACCAACAGTTTTCATAACCTATGAGAATTCAGATGCAGATATGAAACCAACTCTTTTACGAATGTTTACGATGCTGCTAGAGTCTAGCCCAAAAATCTATGGAGATTATCCAGATTATCTTTGTACATACGGATACCTCGGTCCCTTCCTAGGGGTGTCCCGAAATGGCATCGATGCAGGTTGATTTTGTTGTATGTTTCTACAATTGTGGAACAAATCGACTGTTCCAAGTAGGCAAGTCCCAAAATTGCATACAATGAAAACACAAAGTTTGTTTGTAATTTTTGAAATTTATTTTTTATATGTTTATTTGATTTATCATCAATATCAATAGTTGATGCTTGGTTGTTACTTGTTGCTGTAGTTGCTGTTGATTTTGTTGTTTGTTTTGTTTTTGTTTTGTCTGCTGTTATATTATTTATACTTTTTAATTAAGATTTATACTCGTACTCGTACTTACAATTAAGTATGCCATACATATATTTATTATGTTTTTATGCTGGTTGCTTGATCTGAACTGAACTGCTCTGCTCTGCTCTGCTCTGCTCTAGGCTCTACTCTGATCCGCGCTTCTGTTCTCTCTTGCTGGTTGGTTCTGGGTCTGAATGGATTGAGTGCGAACAAAATAATTTCATAATTCTTCGTGCATCATTCATGCGCGTGTCGCGTGGCGCTTATCCACATTCACATTCTCCGTCAATTACATATTAAAATTGATTTAATTAAAGAATTCTATTTGTTTTTTGTCGATAAACATTCTTCATTCTGGTTTACTTTCTTTCATATTTTTGTTTTTTTCTTTTTTAGTTACGCGCCTGATCCAATGGGTATCTTCTTGGGGCACACACGAGACACAAAATTGCGTTTTAAAATCGTACAAATTACAAGTTAAATATTAAGATCTAGGCATGGTTTTCCTTTCACTAATTACACGAATTAAAATAATTATAAAAATTACACGCAGGACAAGAGACACAAGGTACAGTCGGTACAGAGTGAGAGAGTGGGAGGGCGGGCGGTACAATACAACATAATGATGGAGTGGCGTGGGGGCGGTTAAAAAATATGGAAAATGATTCAGTATATGAGAATACACGCACGGGGTAGGGTGTCTGTCTTACAATCTTAAAAACGTTAATCAATGCGAGAGCCATTTCGTAAGGGGAGTTTCATAAATTATGTACAGGTATGTATCATTATCGTTATCATCATTATAGTATGTATAGTATAAACTTTCATGTGTGTGAGGACAGCGCAGCAATGCGAGAAACCCAAGTGTGGATAAGGAGTCTGTATAGATCTACATATTCTACATACATATTATGTGTGTTCTGTGTTGTGTGTTCTGTTTTGTGATTGGATCGATCTGTATCGCTGGTCTAAGATCTAAACATTCCCCTCAGCGCTTTGCTTTTTCTGCTCTTCGGCTCTTCAGCTTATCGGCTATGTGTGTTGGTTTTGTTGCAATAATTTACGGATAACGGATAATCTTGATGCAATGCAGCATGCAGCAGCAATCTGCTTCTCGTTACAATTAAATTATAAGCGCTTTTTAATATACTCGTAACATTATGGATATTTTATGTATATGCTGCCGGGGGAATCAATCAGATGTGGCTGTGAAAATGATCACCCACCGCTTTGTGCTTCAAATTTTGCAGCAGTTGAAGCACTCCATCGATGGGAATCATTCGCCACACTTCCATTTCTTTGAGGCTCTCTTCTGGTTCTGTCCGTCAGTGCGCGGACGGTGTTGCAGCAGTGTCCGCGACTGCCGGACACAGCCAGTGTGTAGCAGCAGCAACAGTAATCCTCCTCCAGCAGTCTCTATGGTCTTCCTCCGACTGCAGCAGCAGTTGATCTCTCGTTCTTCCTACTGGCTATATATAATATATACGCTTCCTTATACTTTACACAACTTTAAGCTTAAGGGATTTAGTGGTAACAGATAGCCTAGAATTCAATTTTCGGCGCGAGCGACGCAATCGGGCTTTTTGATCAGCGGACGAGGCGGCGGCTATCTCTTCAGCTCCGGCTTTTCCACCAGTTCTGGGTTGCTTCTGCTTCTGCTCTTCCTTCTCCATCTCCGTCTTCTTATCATTTATCTTTATATTCTTTTTCTTGATTATTACTTTCTTCTTTGTCACCTTGGGGTTTTGTCGTCGAGTTGTGGCCCCCCTTTCGGGGGCCCTTTCGTCCTGCTAGCGCGTTCGCTCGGATCTCCGCAATACTCATTCGTTCCGGTCCTCCGATTCGCTGCCCGCCGACAGGTTCAGCGTAGCGGCATCCGCCGATTGGCGCGTGTGCCTGGTGGACCGTAGTTCGCGTCGCTTCTCGGGCGGCTGCTCCATGGCGGCCGCCTGATCGTTGCCGGAGCGTGGTCTCTTCAGGCGATTGGAAGATCGGCGATTCTCCTCAGCGGCAGCTGCAGCCGCCGCAGCGGCCGATGATGAGGATGAGCCGCCACTGAGGTTGGCCGCCGATGTGTTGCCAGCGGCATCGAGATCCTCGACACTGCCGCCGTGACTGCTTCCGGGTGCCGCTGGCTTCTTGAGTATCGGCTGGATGATCAGCTCGTCGGCCTCCTCGTAGGGCGGCGGCAGCTTGGCGGCATCCGCGGCATTCGTGATGGTCAGGGAGATGCGCGACTCTGAGCGTTCGGAGCGCTCGCTGCTGGTGCTCGCTCCACTGCTGATGGGCGGCGCTATGGTGATTGTCGTCTGCGAGGGCAGATTGGCCGCCAGGCCAGCAGCTGCCGCGTTTGATGAGGATGGTCCTCCTCCACCTCCGCCAGAGTTCAGGGGCGTCAGAGTCACCTTGTCCTGCTCCACGGACATGGGAGCTGGCGTGGAGCTGCTGCTGGAACTGCTGCCCGCCCTCAGGCTCTTCTCGATGCTGCTCATGCTTGTACCCAGATTCAGCGGCAATCCGGCAACCATAGCAGCGGCAGCATTGGCCAACTCCTCCTTCGTGGGATGCATCTCGCTGCGGGATCGCTTCGACTTCTGTTGCTGCTGCTGTTGTTGTTGTTGTTGCTGGTGGTGTTGCTGCTCAGCGTCGAGGGCAGCGGCGTAGGCAGCAGCCGCCGCATTGGCCGAACTGCTGGAGCTGCCGCCCGACGAGGATGTGGGTATCAGCGATATGCCCGATCCCAGGCCCAGGGTCTTGGTGTAGTAGTCCATCTGTTGCTTAAAGGCATCTTGTTCCCGCTGCCGCTTCGACGCCGAGGAGTTGCTGTTGCCGCCTGAGGAGCTGTTGCCCTGCGATCCACCCGTAAGACCCGCGAGTGAGGCCAACGATCCGGGACCACTCAGTGGCAGTGAACCACCGGCCGCTGCCATCGCTTGGGCGGCCATCTCAGCGAGGAATGCCTGCGAAAAGTCGCTCGACATGCCCGGAATCTGTGGCAGTTGTGAGGCAGCCGCTGCCGCCGCTGCTGCAGCTGCTGCTGCATTCGAGGCGGACTTGGAGCTCTTGCTGGACGAGGAGTTGCCGCCTCCCGTGTTAGAGGAGGACGACGTGGAGGGCATCTTGCCCTGTGAGAAGGCCTGCAGTGCTGCCAGATCCGTGGGCAGGGCTCCGCGTGCAAGGCTCTCGAGCCACTTCTGCTGCTCCTTGGCGGCCATCTTCTCCGCCTGCGCTGCAGCGTTGGAAGCTTCGTTTGCAGCTGCGGCGGCCGCCCGCTTGCTGCTCGCACTCGAACTGCCGCTGCTCGAGGGTGTCGGTAGCGGTGGCATGCCCAGGGAGCTCATAAGGCGCGTGGCCTGGGCCAGATCCATGCTGCTCATGCGGCTGAGCGACTCCAGCAGATGAGGATCTGCTCCAGGCATCAGGAGACTGCTCAGCTGCGCCATGTCCGCCGCGGTGGGCGTTGCCTGGGCATTGCGGCTGCTCGATTGCCTGCCGCGCCCTGAACTGGAGCTGGACGGCGTCGTCACGGTGCTGGCCACGCTCTGGCCACCGCTCATGCTGGCCATCGCATTCATCAGATTGGCCGCCGAGTTGGAGGCGGCATTCGCCGCAGCCGAGGAGTTGCGCGAGTTGCTCGACTTGGACTGCGACTGATGCGACTTGGACTGCGTCGAGGAGGTGTTGGCCGCCGACGAGGTGGCCGCCACTCCGTTGAGCAGATTGTACTGCTGGGCCAGCTGGTCGTAGGCCGAGCCGAGGCCACTCGCGCCCAGGGAGTAGGGATTGAGGCCACCCAGCCCCATGGGCGGGTAGAGCAGCGAGGGATTGGGGAAGAGGAACGGAAAGCCGGCGGCCAATTGGGAGGCTTGCGATGCTGCCGAATTCTTGCCACCTTGTCCTCCTCCTCCGCCGCCGGATGAACCACCGCCAGCATTAACCGCTGCAGCGGCGGCTGCAGCGGCCGCCAGCTGTGCTGCCTCGCTCTGCTGCTGTTGCTTCTTCTTGCTGGACGAGGAGGAGTTGCCTCCACCGCCACCGCCGACCTGCGACTGACTCTTGCCGGAACCCCCGCCCGAGGCGCCTGTGAGGCCCCCCAGCGTTGGCCCAGCAGCAGCCATGAGCGCAGCCAGCGAATTGGCGTCCATTCCCGCGAGATTACCCAATCCTCCCATGCCGGCAAGGCTGGCAAACAGATTCATGTTGTTCAAATTGCCCAATCCGGGCAGATTGGCCATGCCAGGCATTCCGCCGAAGGGCATCGAGAGCAGCGGATTCTTGGGATCAAAGGCCGCCAGCGGATTCTTCGGATCGAAGCCACCCAGTCCCGGCAGATTGGCCAACAAACTGGGATTGAGTCCAGCCAGTGAGCTGAACTGCAATGC